TTGGGAAAAGGGCTTTGGTTAGACGAATACAGACGCTTTGTCAGGCTTTCTCAAAGAGCTGGGAACTTAACCAAAGTGTGATGTTTCACAACATTAACCAGTAGTGTTATTTTGAAAGTCTAATTGGACGTTACATATTCAGTAGTCTATCATATTGTTCTGATTGTACACTTGTTATGTTTCTGTAGGAGACGCCTTGAGTTATCACAGTGGACAGAAGTTCACCACCTTCGACAAAGACCACGACACCTGGAATGAGGGGAACTGTGCCAGAAAACACCTGGGGGCGTTCTGGTATAAATATTGTCTTTCTGCAAACCCCAACGGGGTTTATCGCTGGGGGGCTGACAAGACTCTCTTTGCTGTTGGAGTGGAGTGGCGTAGTTGGAAGGGCAATGACTACTCTCTGAAGGCCTTCAGCATGAAGATCCGTCCTGTGCAGTAGTTCTCCAGGAAAAACGTACAGCAGAACATCAGCAGCTGATCTCTCTCACTTATCTAGAACATAATCTCACATGATGTTTAGATGGAAACAGACACATAGAGTCCGATAACGTGTTGATAACTGCATTAACTGCCAAAGATAAAGAAAACATGGAGGCAAATCCAGCCAGTCGACATGTAAAATGAATAAAATAAACATTTCCATCTAAAATGAAAGAGTCTGATTGTGTGTGTGAGCAGCTGCTGGCTGTAAAGTCTTCAGCAGTGTTGGGCAGGAATGCGTCACTGGGTAACTAGAAGTGTAACAGATTACTGTTTCCAAAACAGTAATATTAGTACACTTACTAATCCAAGTAACGCTGCGTTACTGCATTACTGAACGCACCATCCTTGTTGTGAATGCCCGGCAGTGCAGCAGGTCAGCGGCACTGGACGAGGGAGAGAGAAGTTCTTTCCACAGCTGTAAGTAGCGGCTGCCATTATTGTCTCACAGTCTAAGATGTAAAGAACATGTCGTCTGTTGTAAACTGCGACCAGAAAAAAAGCTTTCAAGCGCAAAAACAATTCTACATCTGATTTATTGGAGCATCTGCTGCAGCAGCACAGCGACATGAGACTTACAGAAAGAAACTCCGGCAGCTGCTGTCACTGATGCTTAGACTCGTCGGGAGAGCGTTAATATGAAGAAACTCCTTTCTGCTCTTATGAAAATGATATTACATGAAAGTCGGGAGAGACTGCTTTGTTTGGTGGGGGGAAGGTGTGTGAAAGTAATATCCTATAGTAACATAACGGGTAACGTAACTAGTTACTTTTATCACCCAGGAAAGTCAAGTAATATTATTGCTTCAGGAGTAATAACTAGCTAGTGATATATAGTCATTTCTGAGTAACCTGCCCAACACTGGTCTTCAGTCAAACAGCTGTTGGTGTAGAGAAATGATTAGACAGGTGGGAGACGCTGACATGATGTCAGCGCATCACAGGTGGTCCGTTTTGACGCTCTTGGCTACAGAAGGAGAGAACGAACCTGTCAGAGAAAGTTCTGGTTCCTTTTCTCTTCACACTCTGCTGGTTAAGATGTTACCTTCAGTCTGCTGGATGTTGGAAGGCCAAAGGTGAATCATTATCTGCTGCACGGTGACAATAAATCAGAAACGGAGCAGGAAGCAGATCTTCTTTTTGTCTTTTGAAACTTTTGTTATCTTTGGACGGCAGTCCCTCCAGGATCTCGAGGCCTTTTTGTGATTGTTGTGGCCTAAAAGTCCGCTTTTCTAAAAAAACTTTGATGAAAGTTGTGACGTTCTTCTGTGTTTTTTTGCTCTGACATGGTGGGAATAAGTGAAACAGCAAAAGTAGATATTTTTAACTTTAGTATTGTAGCTGAAGCATTAAACAGTCCCTCCAGGACCTGGTGGGCCTGACCCTGACCCTGCATATCTCAACTAGCTGACCTGGATTCTGTCCTGCAGCAGCCTGTGTCTCAGAGTGTTTCTAACATTCTCTCTCTAAGTGTTTGTCAGGAGATAATTTCGTTTGTGTTCAACCACAACGCTGCACGTTCTGCATAACAGCTGCCCGCTTTGGTGAAGAAGATCTGGATCCTGGTCTTCACGCTCCTTTGCTGTTATTTCTATTCAACTCAATTCAATTCAATTCAATTCAATTTTATTAATATAGCGCCAAATAACAACAACAGTTATCTCTGAGCGCTTTTCATAAAAGAGCAGGTCTAGACCGTACTCTGTGGTTAAATGTTCTGTAGTTCCCGCTCCCGCTGCTTCCCCCTGCCAGCTCTCTCACGGTGGGGGCATTCGGGAGTCTCTGGGGCGCATGACCGGTGCTGTCGGGGTAGGTTTTGGTGCTCCTCCTTGGGGGTGCTTGACTGGGGGGGGCTGGGCCCCTGTCCGGGGATGAAATCGGCCTCGGGGGCTGCTGTCACTGGCTGCACTGTAGGGAGGGATGCCTCTGGCTGGGCTGGGGGACCGTTGGCCTGGTTCTCCCGCGTTATCGCTCCCTGGCGGTAGCGAGCTTCCCGGCACGGCTTTCTGCTGTTCTTCCTTGGGGCGGGGTACAGCTTCTCCCTGGACATGCGGTCTGGGGTCCTTTGCGCTTTGGGGGGTCGCAGGGTGTCCTGGCTTCTGGGGGTGGGGGTCTGCGGTGGGATTGTGGGGCGATTATCGATGCATCTTGATGTATTATACTTTTTCCCTGGGCAGGGTCTCTGGATGGCTGCTGGGCGTTTAGTTTGTGCGTTGGAGTCCGGGGAGGCATCTCCTCGTTGGCTTGGAGGGACCTGTTTGCGTTCCTGTTTTGCTTCGTTGGCCTCGGATCCGTGCTTGCCCATTTCTCTGTCGGCCAGTTGTTGGACCCCTCTGGATACTGAGGTATATAGTTAGTTTTCGGGATGTGCAGTGTGGGTGCGGGGCGGGGCTGTGCTCCGGTTTGTTCTGGGTTTGTGCCTGGAGTTCTCGGCCCTTGATGGATGGGTGGGTTGTTGGTGGCATGCAGCTGAGCTAGTTGATTTTGCCTCGTTGCTGATTTGGCTGGTGTTGCATGGCGGCCGGGGGGCGCGCTGGGCATGGGGGATGTCGGCTGGCGCCGGCGGCCTTAGTTTTTTCCGGCAGTTGGGGGGACGGTGGACTTTTATTGGCGGGTGCACGGTGACCTGTGCGGCGCGTTTGCTGCCGGGCTGGGACTTGCTGCTGGTGTCTCTCTCCGCTGGCTTTCGCTGTCGTGTTGTTCCGTTTGCTCTCTCTCATTTGCCCGACCTCGCACGCGGGATTCGCGGGGGGCTGCTGGGCATGGGTGTCGCCGTGCTCGCGCAGTGTGCGCGTTGGGCTCGTCACTTGTGCATTGGTGTTGATGATTGCGTGGCATTTGGGCATTGTGGTTGTTTGCTGCGCGGCGGTGGGGTGCTGGATGGGGAGGCCACTGGTCTATGTTGTGTCTGCGACGCGGTCGGTCCGGGCGCTGCTCTTCCTCTTTTGCGTTCCGTCGGCATTACGTTGTCAACTGGCATTTGGGTCGGGGTCTTCTGCGTTTGCATCGCGGTGCATCTGGGAGTCTTTGTTTTTTTTTGATTTGATTTATTCTTTTTCTTTCTTCCACCCCTATTGGCTACTGGGGTTCTTGCCTGCCTGTTACAGTCGTGGCGTCTCACTCTCTCTAACAACTACATTCTTTAACAGGCTTATGCACACACATGTACACACACACATACAGACACATTCACCCACACGCACACAGACACACAGACACAAACAAACTTAGGTTGTCCCTGGTAGAATTATTCCTGATGCCTTTCTTTCAGTTACTTATTTAAATTAATTATTATTCCAGCTCTCGTGGCTGTGTTGTGTTGCTTATTTAGTGTGTGTGACTGTTTCTTGTTTTCATTGTTCTCTTAGTTGTCTTAATATGTCATTAATATGTCAGCTGTTTATTGCTGCTGTTCGGCTGGTTTTCTTTTACTATTATTATTATTTTTATTGTTTTTTTTGTTTGTGTTTGTTTGTTGTTGTTTTTCTCCTCCCCAAGCCCCCCTCTCTGTTCTCTTGCAGGTTTCGTTGCTTTCTGCAATTGGTGTTTCCCACAGCTTTTCCCTGTTGTCCCCACCCTCCATCCCCCTTTCCCCCTTCTCTTGCAGGTGTTGTCCTTTCTCTGTGCTGTCTGTTTGTGCCCCCCCATCCCCGTGTCTGCCCCCCTGTCCGGCCCGGTGACAAATCAATACATAATTAAATAAATAATAACAGATCAAGGAGTATTTTAATACTCTCTTGTTAAAGTAAAATCTGTCTGGCACAATATGGTATCCAGGTCATTATACTCTATACCAGGCTGCTGGGCAGGACAGGTTTAAAAAAAAAAAAAAAAAAAAAAAAAAAAAAAAGTTCTGTAGTTGAATGTGCGATATTGAAAGCTGAACATGATGTAATGTCTACTGGTGTATTTCTCTCTGGGGATGGGAGGAAAAGTCTCCTCAGGTAATTTTTTGTAGTAAAGTGTCTCGCTGTCCTCTGACTGAGGACAGAGACAGAGTCTAACTGATAAGACTGTTGACTGGTGTGATTGATCAGTGATGGACAGGTGTCCTGGTCAGAGCTGAAACAGGCTTGTAGCAAAACACTCTGCAAAACACACCTAAATGGTGCACTTGATGATATTCTAAGCAGTTTTGCGACCTTGTTTTTATTTTCATAGTTTATTTTACTATCTCTTAGTTTGTGTCTGATGTTTAAAATGTGTTGTTGTTTTTATTCCATGCATGTTGGAGTTTGCTGCACAGATCGATGCCTTCTGATTTATATTTTTCTTATTTTGAACATTAAAAGATAAAAGAAATATTTCGAGATGATGAACTGAAGCGTTTGAAGCTTTTATTTTGAAAATTTAACGGGAGTAATTTGTTTTGTTTCGGCTTTTATTTTGGATCGTGTTAACCGGAAGCTGTATTTAACGGAAGCTGACGGGAGATTTTCAGTAGTTTGAAGCCAAACGGATCATTTGTAACCATCTCACATGCAGTACAAGTACTACAGCAACGCATCTCTGTGTACTGGTGTCCGTATTTTTTATTATAAGTCGCAGTTTTATGAGAAACCGTCTATTTAAAAACTCCGGAAGTGTTTTCGGTCGGCCGCTGCGGGGCGGCGCCACAGAGAGGTCAAAGGTCAGATGAACCCGGAACATCAACAAAGCAAACAAAGGCTCGGAGGCGTTAGCTCGGTTCAGCTCGGTTCAGCTCGGTCTAGCTCGGTTCAGCTCGGTTCAGCTCGGTTCCTCTGACACGGGCCGACATGTTCCCCGTGTTCCCGCCCGGTCGCAGCCTCCTGGTGGCGGCTCTCAGCCTGGTTCTGACCCGCCTCTCCTGCTCTTCGGTCCCGGACGTCCCGCACATCGCAACTTACTTCGGGACCAAGACCCGGTACGAGGAGGTGAACCCGCACCTGCTGCGGGACCCTTTATCCGTGAACAGAACCGTCCTGAAACCTCCGCCCGCCGAGCGGTGCTCCCCGGTCCACCTGACCGCCGTCATCAGGCACGGCAGCCGGTACCCGACCGTGAAGAACATCCGCAGGATCCAGAAGCTGAGCGAGCTGGTCCGGACGGAAGCTTCCGGGGGGTCCGAGACCTGGATCCAGGACATCCGGAACCGCTGGGACATGTGGTACACCGAGGACATGGACGGTACCGATCAGCACCGCCTTCATTACATCTGCTGTACTTTACTGTGGAAATACTGCTCAGCACACCGGAAGTGTCTTTATTACACACGTTAATACACCAGCGGTACACGGAGTACTGTGGAAATGTCTCATAGTACTGCAGTATTCTAGGAAGTACTCCTGCTAACCCCTCTGCTCCTCCCTTCTCCTCCCCCCAGGTCAGCTGGTGATGAAGGGTCGTGACGACCTCCGTCAGCTCGCCGGGCGTCTCTCCTCCTTGTTCCCGGCGCTCCTGTCGGAGGAGAACTTGAGGAGGATCAGTTTCCGCAGCAGCTCGAAGCATCGCTGTGTGAGCAGCGTGGAGGCGTTTCAGGAGGGGCTGCAGGAGCTCGGGGGAGGCTCAGGTGAGACCAGGAGGAGGAGGAGGAGGAGGGGCTTCTCCTTCAGGAGGAGGAGGGGCTTCTCCTTCAGGAGGAGGAGGGGCTTCTCCTTCAGCAGGAGGGGCTTCTCCTTCAGGAGGAGGAGGGGCTTCTCCTTCAGCAGGAGGGGCTTCTCCTTCAGCAGGAGGAGGAGGGGCTTCTCCTTCAGCAGGAGGAGGAGGGGCTTCTCCTTCAGCAGGAGGGGCTTCTCCTTCAGGAGGAGGAGGGGCTTCTCCTTCAGGAGGAGGAGGGGCTTCTCCTTCAGGAGGAGGAGGGGCTTCTCCTTCAGCAGGAGGGGCTTCTCCTTCAGGAGGAGGAGGGGCTTCTCCTTCAGGAGGAGGAGGGGCTTCTCCTTCAGGAGGAGGAGGGGCTTCTCCTTCAGCAGGAGGGGCTTCTCCTTCAGCAGGAGGGGCTTCTCCTTCAGGAGGAGGAGGGGCTTCTCCTTCAGGAGGAGGGGCTTCTCCTTCAGGAGGAGGAGGGGCTTCTCCTTCAGGAGGAGGAGGGGCTTCTCCTTGCAGCGACACCACCAGCTGTCAGATGAACGTAGTAGAAAGTGCAGTATCTCCCTCTGAGGTGAGTACTAAGTAAAGTACCTCGGTTGTGTACCGTGTCTCCGCAGAGCCGCAGTACCGCCACCAGCTGGACGACGAGCTGATGCGTTTCTTCGAGCGCTGCCGTGGTTACGTGGAGGGCGTGGAGAGGAACCGCACGGCGCTGCAGGAGGTGGAGAAGTTCAAGCACGGCGAGGAGATGGACGCCGTGAGGAGGAAGATGGCCGACAGGCTCGGCCTTCCTCACCACCGCCTCACGCCGGGTCAGACACGCTACCCCTGGGTCCCGTTTCCCACGTGGCGCTGAAATGACTCGCAGGTCCAGGAAGGGCGGCGAGTCATGTCAGCCTCATTCATCCCTTTCTAAATGTCTCTTTCTGATGGTAAAATGGCGCCGACTCGTTTGTCTCCTCGGTAGTAACGGCACCACTGAACCTTGAACCTGGACCAGATCCTGCAGGACTGAGGTGGACTGGTTTTAATGAAGTGTGTCCCTCTGTGGCTCCTGTAGATCTGGTGGAAGCTGCTTTCTTCCTGTGTTCCTACGAGCTCGCCATCAAATCTCTTCACTCGCCGTGGTGCTTCCTGTTCGACGAGAGCGACGCAAAGGTACTCACATCGTGTACTCATGTACTCACATCGTGTACTCATGTACTCACATCGTGTTCTCGTGTACTCACATCGTGTACTCACATCGTGTACTCATGTACTCACATCGTGTACTCATGTACTCACATCGTGTACTCGTGTACTCACATCGTGTACTCGTGTACTCACATCGTGTTCTCATGTACTCACATTGTGTACTCGTGTACTCACATCATGTACTCGTGTACTCACATCGTGTACTCACATCGTGTACTCACATCATGTACTCGTGTACTCACATCATGTACTCGTGTACTCACATCGTGTACTCACATCGTGTACTCGTGTACTCACATCGTGTACTCACATCGTGTACTCGTGTACTCACATCGTGTACTCACATCGTGTACTCGTGTACTCACATCGTGTACTCACATCGTGTACTCACATCGTGTACTCACATCATGTACTCGTGTACTCACATCGTGTACTCACATCGTGTACTCACATCATGTACTCGTGTACTCACATCGTGTACTCACATCATGTACTCGTGTACTCACATCGTGTACTCACATCGTGTACTCACATCGTGTACTCACATCATGTACTCGTGTACTCACATCGTGTACTCACATCGTGTACTCACATCGTGTACTCACATCATGTACTCGTGTACTCACATCGTGTACTCACATCGTGTACTCACATCATGTACTCGTGTACTCACATCGTGTACTCACATCATGTACTCGTGTACTCACATCGTGTACTCACATCGTGTACTCACATCATGTACTCGTGTACTCACATCGTGTACTCACATCATGTACTCGTGTACTCACATCGTGTACTCACATCGTGTACTCACATCATGTACTCGTGTACTCACATCATGTACTCGTGTACTCACATCATGTACTCGTGTACTCATGTACTCACATCATGTACTCATGTACTCACATCATGTACTCATGTACTCACATCGTGTACTCACATCGTATACTCGTGTACTCACATCATGTACTCGTGTTCTCATGTACTCACATCGTGTTCTCGTGTACTCACATCGTGTTCTCGTGTACTCACATCGTGTACTCACATCGTGTACTCACATCGTGTACTCACATCATGTACTCGTGTACTCACATCGTGTACTCACATCATGTACTCGTGTACTCACATCGTGTACTCACATCGTGTACTCACATCATGTACTCGTGTACTCACATCGTGTACTCACATCATGTACTCGTGTACTCACATCGTGTACTCACATCGTGTACTCACATCATGTACTCGTGTACTCACATCATGTACTCGTGTACTCATGTACTCACATCATGTACTCATGTACTCACATCATGTACTCATGTACTCACATCGTGTACTCACATCGTATACTCGTGTACTCACATCATGTACTCGTGTTCTCATGTACTCACATCGTGTTCTCGTGTACTCACATCGTGTTCTCGTGTACTCACATCGTGTACTCACATCGTGTACTCACATCGTGTTCTCGTGTACTCACATCGTGTACTCACATCGTGTTCTCGTGTACTCACATCGTGTTCTCGTGTACTCACATCGTGTTCTCGTGTACTCACATCGTGTACTCACATCGTGTACTCACATCGTGTACTCACATCGTGTTCTCGTGTACTCACATCGTGTACTCTCATCGTGTTCTCGTGTACTCACATCGTGTTCTCGTGTACTCACATCGTGTACTCACATCGTGTACTCACATCGTGTTCTCGTGTACTCACATCGTGTACTCACATCGTGTTCTCGTGTACTCACATCATGTACTCACATCGTGTACTCACATCGTGTACTCACATCATGTACTCGTGTACTCACATCGTGTACTCACATCATGTACTCGTGTACTCACATCGTGTTCTCGTGTACTCACATCGTGTACTCACATCGTGTACTCACATCGTGTTCTCGTGTACTCACATCGTGTACTCACATCGTGTTCTCGTGTACTCACATCATGTACTCACATCGTGTACTCACATCGTGTACTCACATCATGTACTCGTGTACTCACATCGTGTACTCACATCGTGTTCTCGTGTACTCACATCATGTACTCACATCGTGTACTCACATCGTGTACTCACATCGTGTTCTCGTGTACTCACATCGTGTACTCACATCGTGTTCTCGTGTACTCACATCGTGTACTCACATCGTGTACTCACATCGTGTTCTCGTGTACTCACATCGTGTACTCACATCGTGTACTCACATCGTGTTCTCGTGTACTCACATCGTGTACTCACATCGTGTACTCACATCGTGTTCTCGTGTACTCACATCGTGTACTCACATCGTGTACTCACATCGTGTTCTCGTGTACTCACATCATGTACTCACATCGTGTACTCACATCGTGTACTCACATCGTGTTCTCGTGTACTCACATCGTGTACTCACATCGTGTTCTCGTGTACTCACATCATGTACTCACATCGTGTACTCACATCATGTACTCGTGTACTCACATCGTGTACTCACATCATGTACTCGTGTACTCACATCGTGTACTCACATCATGTACTCGTGTACTCACATAGAGATCAATAGATATTTTAGTAATTGTTTTATTTTTAAATTTGTTTTGTTTTTTTATTAATTAATTTTTACGGTTTTATTTTAAATATTTATTGTTTATTTATTTTTCATCAACACACAAACACTTCTTCTGTTTTATTTATTTAATTTAATGAAATGTATGAAATTGTGTGTTTTATTTTTAATTTATTCGTAGCTTTGGCAACACTGTTGTTTTACTTTCATGCCAATAAAGCTGCTTTGAATTGAAACAGCTGATTAGAAGACGTCTCGCTCTGATTGGACCACAGAGCGGAGCCTCCTCCCTCTCACTGAATTAATATTGATGAACATTAATTAGTGACAGCTGATAAATGGAATAAATGCAAACCTCATTTATAGAAGATGTTACCATGGAAACGATGTTTTAAATGGTCAGAAAAATAACCGCTAATTAAAATCAGTCAGATCATCAGGTCGACCTTTCAGAGAAGCGCAGACTCGTCCGATCGTTGGCGATGAGTGAATATTGACTAGCGGCGCCCTGCTGGTTCTGGTTCTGGTTCACCTGCCGTCTCTCTGCAGGTGCTGGAGTACAAGTCGGACCTGAAGCAGTACTGGAAGCGCTCCCACGGTCATGTGATCAGCGGCCTGTCCAGCTGTCCTCTCTTCCATCACGTCTTCAGGACGCTCGACAAAGCCGGACGCCCTCGCAGGTCTGTGATGTCGCTGTGCAGCTGCGGCGCCGCCTGCAGGCCTCTTACAGACTCCTCCTTCAAACTTACTGCTCTTGTTTTGAAGGGACACAGAGGGCAGGAAGCTGTCAGGATGTGAATTTGAATGAACTTTATTGATCATCAGTGACTGTCGGTGTCGTTCAGGTCCACGGACGCGGCGCCTGAGCCGGCCTCCATCCTGGTGGGTCACGCCGAGACGCTTCTCCCTCTCCTCTCCCTGCTGGGGCTCTACAAGGACCAGACTCCGCCCACCGCCAGCAACTACCGCACGCAGCACGGTACGAAGCCCCGTCCCCCGTCCCGACGTCCAATCAGAGACGAGCACACAACTAAACATGAATAATTAAATGATTTAGTCATGCTAATCTGATGCTAGCATGCTAACACCAACATATAGGCTGCCAGGGAACCAATGAGAGAACAGAAAACATCACCGCCGTCAGCGAGACCCTGAACGGCTCATCAGGTGGTCAGCAGGTCGCTGCTGCTGTTCTCTCTACAGACGTGTCTTCAGTGTTCACATGTTGTCAGACTGTCGCTTTAAAGTAGCTCAATTAGCTGTTAGCAGCATGTTAGCAGCTCCTGTTAGCAGCACGTTAGCAGCATGTTAGCAGCTCTTGTTAGCCGCTCCTGTTAGCATCTTGTTAGCATCTTGTTAGCAGCTCCTGTTAGCATCTTGTTAGCCGCTCCTGTTAGCCGCTCCTGTTAGCATCTTGTTAGCATCTCCTGTTAGCATCTTGTTAGCAGCTCCTGTTAGCATCTTGTTAGCAGCTCCTGTTAGCATCTTGTTAGCAGCTCCTGTTAGCATCTTGTTAGTAGCTCCTGTTAGCATCTTGTTAGCAGCTCCTGTTAGCAGCTCCTGTTAGCATCTTGTTAGCAGCTCCTGTTAGCAGCTCCTGTTAGCATCTTGTTAGCAGCTCCTGTTAGCGCATCTTGTTAGCAGCTCCTGTTAGCGCATCTTGTTAGCAGCTCCTGTTAGCAGCTCCTGTTAGCATCTTGTTAGCAGCTCCTGTTAGCATCTTGTTAGCAGCTCCTGTTAGCAGCTCCTGTTAGCATCTTGTTAGCAGCTCCTGTTAGCAGCTCCTGTTAGCATCTTGTTAGCAGCTCCTGTTAGCGCATCTTGTTAGCAGCTCCTGTTAGCATCTTGTTAGCAGCTCCTGTTAGCGCATCTTGTTAGCAGCTCCTGTTAGCAGCTCCTGTTAGCATCTTGTTAGCAGCTCCTGTTAGCATCTTGTTAGCAGCTCCTGTTAGCAGCTCCTGTTAGCATCTTGTTAGCAGCTCCTGTTAGCATCTTGTTAGCAGCTCCTGTTAGCAGCTCCTGTTAGCATCTTGTTAGCAGCTCCTGTTAGCAGCTCCTGTTAGCATCTTGTTAGCAGCTCCTGTTAGCATCTTGTTAGCAGCTCCTGTTAGCAGCTCCTGTTAGCATCTTGTTAGCAGCTCCTGTTAGCATCTTGTTAGCAGCTCCTGTTAGCATCTTGTTAGCAGCTCCTGTTAGCAGCTCCTGTTAGCATCTTGTTAGCAGCTCCTGTTAGCATCTTGTTAGTAGCTCCTGTTAGCATCTTGTTAGCAGCTCCTGTTAGCAGCTCCTGTTAGCGCATCTTGTTAGCAGCTCCTGTTAGCATCTTGTTAGTAGCTCCTGTTAGCATCTTGTTAGCAGCTCCTGTTAGCAGCTCCTGTTAGCGCATCTTGTTAGCAGCTCCTGTTAGAGCATCTTGTTAGCAGCTCCTGTTAGCATCTTGTTAGTAGCTCCTGTTAGCATCTTGTTAGCAGCTCCTGTTAGCATCTTGTTAGCAGCTCCTGTTAGCATCTTGTTAGCAGCTCCTGTTAGCATCTTGTTAGCAGCTCCTGTTAGCATCTTGTTAGTAGCTCCTGTTAGCATCTTGTTAGCAGCTCCTGTTAGCATCTTGTTAGCAGCTCCTGTTAGCATCTTGTTAGCAGCTCCTGTTAGCATCTTGTTAGCAGAGACTTTAGTCTTTGTCCTGCTGAGCGTCTGTTAAAATGTCGTCCTGAGCGTTACATTAACGAGGAGCTGAATGTTTCCTCCTCCACCTCCTCCTCTGATGTTCCTCCTGAATGTCGTGTCCCACAGGTAGAACTTTCCGGACCAGCCTCATCGTCCCGTACGCCGCCAACCTGCTCTTCGTCCTGTACGACTGCCAGCGAGGCCCGAGGCTGCAGCTGCTCGTCAACGAGTCTCCGGTTCGGTTCCCGGGGCTGGAGGGGGAGGACGCGCCGCTCTACCGGGACGTCCGGGCCACGTACCGCCACCTGCTGGACGGCTGCGACTTCCACAGGGAGTGCGAGGGCCGAGCCGGGGGGCGTGGGCCCAACACCGAGCTCTGAGTGAAGAACCGGGTACTCCGGAGTCCAGCTCAGAGCCCGTCTGCTACCACAGCCTTAACGCGTTGATCCGTCAACGCTGGAACCACGTCACTTCAAACGCTCTCTGCTTTTTGTTTCTATCGCTCTGTAAACCCCGCCCCCAAACAGTGACTGTCCAGTCACAGCTCAGCAGCAGTAAGTAGTCAGGTCTGGCAGACCTCCTGACACGCCCCCTGCTGGTGAACTGAAGGACCTACCAGAAGTGACCTGAGGAGGTTTTCTCGATCAGGAAATAGACAACAGGTTATAAATCCTGCTGCGGCCGTGCGACAGCGTGACGAGAAAAAGATGGCGTCTCTCTGAAGCACGTTAGATTTCTTTGGTTTTCACCAAAACTGTTTTGTCTGCAGCTGATTGGCTGGTTGTTGCTGCCAGTGTGTGTGTGTGTTTACCCGTTCTCACTCCTGAACCAACCAAACTGCAACGTTTCACAGCGTTAACAAGTAGCTTTATTTTGAAAGTCCAACCGGACGTTGCATATTTAATGCGCTACACGTCAAACTATGACACTAACGGGCGCCCAGGGCGTTAACAAGCGACACCAAGCGTCCATATGTGATGAGTTGCGAGTGAGTGCTGAATGAGATGATCGGCCAATCGCAGTCCTGATGACAGATACCAGATTCATTTTTTAATTGATCGCAGTAAAGAAAAAAGAATTTCAAGAATAATGACTGAAATAAATTTTCTCCTCAGCTTTAACAGTTCAGTGTTAAATTCAATTTAATGAATTCCTAAAGCTCAAGTCATTATTTTCTTAAAATTTAATGTCACAATTCTTATTTATTATATTACATTTTCCCAAACTTCAATCATTTAATCAATTTTGAGCAACATCTATTTTTGCAGTTTTCACTCCCACAATTTCATCACAAAAAAAACACTTCCCAACTTTCATCACAATGTTTTTAGAAAAGCTGCTGCACAATCAGAAAAAGGCTGTGGATCCTGGAGGGACGGATTTACGTGACTTTTGCATTAACACACGTCTACAGGTTCATATTCTGCGGTTTCTAGAATGAGTCATTTCACTTGAAGTCCAACTGACACTGAGCTTGAATCACTTTTCACGTCTGATTTTGGTGAACTGCCCCTTTAATCTGCTGAAAACCAGAGTCGGTTTGGAAAATGATCGTTTTACTACAGGGCTTATTTTCATGGGATTCTCTTCAGGAATGAATTTGCTTTATGTGCTTTATTTATTTAGATTTGGATGATCATGTGATGTGTGCTTGATTTATTTAATTTGGGTTCTTTTACAGTTTTTTTCATCAGGTTTCTTTGCTGATTTGAAGTGTCTGTCGCTGCAGTTCATCTGACGGCCTCCAGGTGCTGCTGTGACCGAACTCTGACTGTGTTGAAGTGAAACTTTCTCTGCAAACCGCCACTTCTTGCACAAGTCGAGCTCTCAGCAGAATTCACTGAACTTCCTCAGTCTGAGGGAGGATTTTCACAATAAGAGTTCTGTTGAGGAGATAATGGGTCTGGTTTTGTTTTGTGTCTTCAGGTGAATTTTCTGTTTCTGTTTACTGTAAATGTCTTTGTGCCAAAATCAGCTAAGATTTAAAAATGGCTGCTCAGCTTTCATCGCTCTTTGGGTTGTGTATGTTCAAAGTGGTGTCAGTTTTCACTCTGTGCTTCTTCTCCTTTGTGTGACTTCCTGTGGCGTTACTGCAGAACGCTGGATGCCAAATGTTTCAAAAGAAAACTTTAATAAATGTGTTTCACAGTTGAAACAGAACAAAATGTTTCCTGACGTCAGTCTTTTATATTAGAAACAAAACTTTACAACATGAACGGTACAGAAATTATGTAAAAGTCAAAATCTCCAAATTGCTGTAGACGTATCAGGATGTGAGACAAAGACGTCTTTAAAATAAAACTCGTATAACTACATTTTCTTAGTTATTTAACATTTCACTGTGAACAAAAAACATCCACGAGTTTGAGAATAAAACTGAAATGTTTTGAGGTACATTTTCTTTATATAGCTCCAATTCACAACAGATGTTATCTCATTGCAATAAATATTTAAATGTTTTGGTTTAGTTTAACAAGATACTGTGGTAATATGGGAATAAAGCCAGAAAATATAATCACATCATAAATGTATGAACATCAGTTGATTCATTCTTGTCCTGTAAGTTAATTAATATTCTGTGAATAAAGACAGTTTTTATGGGAAATGTGTTTTTGAATAAAAATCACAATAGCCCAAATCTGAATGAGAATTATATCGTAATTTTAGGTAAAATTACATCATTGTCGTAAAAATAATGAAAAATAAAAAATAATGTCATAATAATAATTTACCAAATGTTTTCTTGCAAAAAAGAAACTCATGTAAATAAACTGTTATTTTTATATTGTGACTTTTTACAAATTCCTTTGTTCATTTTAAGATATTTCTCTCATAAAAATGTTTTTTAACATATTGACTGTTCTCAAAAATTACTTTTGCAAAGTCATATTTTAAAAGTCACTATATGAAAATAAAGTAAATTTTACATGAATGAATTGACAACTTTTGAGAAAAAAGAACAGTGAATTTTAAAGTTGATTTTACGTGTTAAAAAATTAAAGTTTTAACTTTTGAGAAAAAAATTACATAGTGAATGTGCAAAAGTCAAGGAAATCCGTCATGTTAAACATTTTAAGTGAACTGTTTTAAAAGTCACAATACAAAATAAGTTGTAATTTTACATGAATGAATTCAAAACTTTTGACAAATAAGTCATAATTTAGAAGCAACATTTTACAATTTAAAAGTTGTGCAAATGAAATGAAAAATAAATTTTGAGAAAAGTTGTAAGATCACGTAAATAAGTCACAATTTCACACTTGATTTTTAACATGACTTCTCTAATAAAATGACAAATTTACTGTAAAATTGTAAAATGTGACTTTTCTCCTAAATAATGACTTTTAGATTTTTTTTTTTGTCACAAAACTTTTATTTTTCAAGTTGTTATTTAAATGTGACGGCTTTATTATAATATTTAACCAAATAATCAGTTAAAAGCTGTTGTGATTTATTGGTTTTGATTATTTCATTTATGTTACACACATTCTGCATATTAAATCTCTCAGACACATTAACACAAAAACATCACATCATTTTGTTTTGACAAGTTTATTTCACCATCCAGCAGTTATTACATCATAATTCAACAGACATCACACTGTAAAAAACAAAAGACTGCGCTTTTGTTTACATTTACCAACACTGAGGCTGTTTCACAGATGAAATGATCTAATCTTTTATTCCAGTTTCTCAATATTTTCACACTTTTACTGATGGAGTTTTGAAAAGTTTCAAACTAACATATTGACGTTTGTATTTGTTTCTACGTTTCATTTTAAGGTTTGTTAATTCCTAATAATTTCCTGGTCATTCATTTCTTTGGACATTTCCCAGATTAAACGGTCATTTGTTACAAATTACAAGTAAATTTATAATTATAGAGACGTGTTAAATTGGTAACTCTTTAATTTACTCTTTAATTAATGGCTAATATAACGTCTTTAAGTCAAAACTCAACAGGTCAGCTGGACATGCAGAAAATGTCAAATGTTTATTGAGTAGAAATAATAAACTAAATAAAGTTCAATAAACCATAAAAGATTGTTTCTATGTTTCCTATAATTGGAATAAGAAGTTCATGAAGCATCCAAGAAGATTATTAGGAGATTAAAAACCCATAACATTTATCTTTTCCAAATAATTTCTAAATAAATCCCCAGATTGAATTCTGTATTTTGGTACGGAGCTGCCAAACTGACAAGATGAAGTAAAAACGTTTCTAACAAGACAAACATGTAAACGATGATATAGGAAGAAGCTGAATAAAAGCGTCAGTTTTATAATTTTATATTTAAATATTTTATGTTTAATGTTTTGCACCAAGTCACCACAGCAAAGTCCTTGTATGTGTAACCTGCAGAGTTTGGGACTCGGACTCGAGTGCGACTTCAGTCGCCTACGTAACACGTTGCATCAGCTGTGCGCGGCTGGGTTTGAGAGTGTGCGGGGTGTGTTGACTTACAGTAGTTAATAAGCTGTCAATAATTGCATTGCACACTATGGCTGTGCTCTGTAAGTAAAAACAGGTTACAGTTACAGAATCTGTTGTAGCTCTGCAGTTTTATAAACAGCCTGGAGTGAACGCAGCAGCTGATCCAACATTCAGTATCACCACGAGAGACTTGAGACTTGAGACTCGGACTCTAGCTCAGAGACTCGGACTCTAGCTCAGAGACTTGAGACTCGGACTCTAGCTCAGAGACTCAGACTCTAGCTCAGAGACTTGAGACTCGGACTCTAGCTCAGAGACTCAGACTCTAGCTCAGAGACTCTCGGACTCTAGCTCAGAGACTCTCGGACTCTAGCTCAGAGACTCGGACTCTAGCTCAGAGACTTGAGACTCAGACTCTAGCTCAGAGACTCAGACTCTAGCTCAGAGACTCTCGGACTCTAGCTCAGAGACTCGGACTCTAGCTCAGAGACTTGAGACTCAGACTCTAGCTCAGAGACTCAGACTCTAGCTCAGAGACTCAGACTCTAGCTCAGAGACTCTCGGACTCTAGCTCAGAGACTCGGACTCTAGCTCAGAGACTCGGACTCTAGCTCAGAGACTTGAGACTCGGACTCTAGCTCAGAGACTTGAGACTCGGACTCTAGCTCAGAGACTTGAGACTTCATTTATCTCAAATCAGTCAAAATAAATAACTTAATTATTTTACTCTTTACGACTCATTTTAATTATTTACATGTTATCAGATTCATAATTTGGTACTAATTACAGAATAAAAACAATGTCTTTATTTAAACGTGAGGAAATATTTGATGTAACATGTCTCTGAAAACACTGAAAACGTTTTAGGAAATTACAGCCCTGTGGGAGGATTTTCACAATAAAAGCTCTCAGCCTGTTTCAGAACAGAAATATAAATAAATTAGCTGTTTGACTTTAAATCAGGTTCTTCAGCTTCCCCGCAGAATATCTGCAGGTGTATCTATGGCAACGGCAGCTGAGGCTCATGGGTACTGTAGTATTCAAAGCCATTCCTGAACACGTTTCTGACAACAAGAACAGAGCGGGGTCACAAGGTGAATCTGACGGTCGTGAGAAGAAACAAGTTTTTATTTTAGCTACTACTTTATTAAAACTGATATAAAAAAAACACTGTCAAAGTAAAAGTCTGCTGAGAGTCTATCTCTGTCTTCACGTTCAGACTCGTACCAGCAGCAAACCAATCTCCTAACGAGTCCAGGCCATAAATAATAAGTCAGAATTTAGGAGAAAAGTAACATTTTTAAAGTTTCTGGTAAAAAGTCACGTAAATTTAGATTTTGAGAAAAGTCGTGAGTTTGTCTTTTCTCATAAAATGACTTTTGCAAGTTTACTTTAAAAGTATAATCCTTTCCTTTGTTCTTCTCATAGACATATTGACATAATTCAGTTAAGGCCCCTTCTCCAGCGCACGGTACCAGCTCGACTCGCCTTTTTCCACTGTGGAAATGTTGCACCTGTTCCTGCTTCCAGGTACTTTTTTTCGTACCACCTCTGTCGAGGTTCCAGTCGAGCTGAGGGAAACTAAAACGTGGCGTGAAACACGGCAGACTGCTGATTGGTCAGAGAAAATCGTCACTATTCACTGCATCATCATTGCACCAGACAGAGGCAACAGGAAGTTTTATATTTTACAGTTTTCAAACATTATTTCATCACTAAATCCACTTCTGAGAAGTTTTGAGGTGAAATCAGCTGTGCAGATTTCCAATATTGACAGTTTTACGAGAAGTGACGGCGGAACAAAAATGTGCTTGAATATTGTCGGAGTTGTGGCGGCGGGTTGAAGCCTGCTGTGACCCGCGGGAGGAGCGTGTGAGGCCGGCCGCCCGCTCACAGAGCCCTCTGCTCCCGCCGTCACACAGACCGCTGCAGCAACA